TGACTGTATCAGACTTGTTAGAACAACCTTGTAACATTCTTGTTATATCATGACTGTATCAGACTTGTTAGAACAACCTTGTAACAAGTCTGATAATGCCATCAAGCTTGTTAGAAGTTGTTAACAGCTTGTCAGTTCCAAACTTGTTACAATAACTGGGCCGAACAAGCATTGCGAACATGTCTTCCCGACAGCTTGTGAACAGATTTGTAACAACTTGTTTGCAGACCTGTAACAACTTTTTGCGCGTTTACTTGAGCTAGTGACTCTAGTGCAAACTCATTACTCAATGTGTACTTAGTCTTTAAAATAAAGTACAGGTTTCTTATAGAAATAATATTTCAAACTACGAGTTACAACAAGAAGCGCAATTGCATATACAAACAACTCCCACACTTCTTAGTGCCATCAATCCAAGGCGTAAAAAAATACCTGTGGTTCCGGTTCCGTGCGACCCTATTTTCTCCAGGTGGTTGCGGGCTGCTCATACAACGTGCCAAAATGGCGTCTGTTGTCACACTGATTATTGAACCAAATTACCTAAATTCTTCCATAGGAAATCCGCCTCTGTAGTTAATATTGATGCCGGGACTCTAATCAATCGCCCACCAAAAAATCGCCAAAACCATGAAAAAAATATTCAAAAAAAAATTATTTCCGACCTACCGACCCTAATTTTTTCACGATATGAAAGCGGAACCACAGGTATTTTTTTTACGCCCAATCATGTTTCATGCCAAGACATGTCAACGCATGTTATACCAACTAAATTACGGTTTGGGATACCTTGGGCTTGGAAAGTAGCTAAGTATGCAGATACTGCCAGATAGCACAGTTCTGCATGCTTGTATACTTGGTACTTGGCTGAAAACAGTACCAGACCGTAATATTGGCGTTAAGTACACGCGAATTATCCTCCTGTAGGGACCCTGCGCTCTGGACGTGTTGCTATTTAAATAAAGTTAGTTCTGTCCCTTAAACATGAATTTTGTTATGGGCATGACTGTAGTCTATTATCCCGTATAGGTGGTTGCTATCTGCTCAAGCATATGTGGTCGTTAAGAGTTAAGAAATATGGCCGAACTTCAAGACGCAATGTAAAGAAGACTATTAAGAAGGAATAAGATACAAGTATGAATCATATATGTAGGGTATAAAATTTGGTAAAAATTCAATGTTGACCATACGAACACTCGTAACCACTCATAAACCTGCAAGCTAGAAGAACGACGGCCGGAAGCTATATACATGATTATGCAAGGTTTAATAAGCAATTATCATATGACAAGCATCACTTCCGGTGAAATGGCGGGCTGTGATTGGCTGAGAAGCACTTTCAGCGGTCCATTACGTAAAAATGCATTGGACCGGCGGTGCATTACGTAAAAATGCATTTTAAAGCAAAACAGCAAAACTAATTGAAAATTTGAAAATTATAATTTAATTTGTTATTAATAAGATATCTGCGAATGGTTTTTAGTGGAAAAGAAGGAATACATTAGTATTTTTTGTTTTCTTCGACCAAATGTGTACCACGCTACTAATATGCATTTCAAATCATGCATTTCTTGTTTGTTTCAAGTATAAATGCCATATAATAAACTTTTTATTAACCTCGCTTGTTCGAGGCACAGAGAAATATCAGACCTCGGTCTTTATGAACAAACCTCGCCCTACGTGCTCGGTCTGTGCAAAAAAGAACTCGGTCCGATATTTCTCTGTACAGACCTCTCGTTCGGTTAATAAGAGGTTAATGATGAGGTAGAATAACACAACAAGTTCACGCTTGTAATTTGAATATTAATGCTGTTTTATTTAAGACATGGCTGAAATTATTATGAATTACACTCAAGAAAGATCTGTCTTCTTGGGACCTTCAAGTTGAAAGTCATACTAATACTACTCGCATAGACCTTCAGTATATGAAAATCATACCACTCGCTTAAATGTGTTATGTATACTTTTTGCGAATTTTCTAATGCTATAGTTTATTTTTCTAATTTCCTTGCGTGTTCCAAATTTCCAAACATCATTTCTTTAATCTCGTTCCAGGACTGCGCGGTGTAGATGAGATATTCCTGATTCGAACAAGCGCCTCTCCAATCGCCCACAGACTGGGTCGCTATTCCGATTGCGTGAACAAAGCGAATAAAAAGCGGTGTGTAATTAATTGCGATACCTATATCTGCTTTTAACATCGCTAGGATATCTGGAAAGTCATTACCAACGTATATGGAATATCCATTAGTCTTTTGATGCTGTTTGATCAACTGTGCCATAACTTTTTCCTTGTCAAAAGCTGTTAGCTGACCCATAATTTTCCCAGTCGATACGCCATTTTTGAATTCGAACTCTCCTGCATGTATTATCAAATTCGGCGGAGCGTTATATTTCTGAAACACGAATTCAGCGAAACTTTTAGATAAACCTGCAGAAATTATGTTTGGGGGATTATTTCGAAAGTGTTGTAGGGTTTCAATAAGCCTTGGACAAAGTTGTGCTTTAGTGATGGCGATTTCTTTAATTCCCTCCATTGTTATTCCTTTTAAAACGTACTGCACTTCCTTCAACTTCAGAATATGTTGGAGTGCATTGTCGATTTCGGCTATTGTTTTTCTTAGGATAAAAATGTTTCCTGCTGTGATTCGGTTAGGTGAATTCTTAAGTCTCCTAAGCGTGTTCTTAATAATATTACTCAATCTGACAGATTTATCCTCGATTAACTTGTCCCATCTTTTAGCCATGGCTTCTTTTTCTGCCTTGTCGCTATTTTGGTATTGCAACGTTGCTTGGTAAACGAATTGGTCCACATCTTTGCTTTCCAAAGTTGTAGCAGTACCGTCAAAGTCCAAGGCGAAGACTCGTATAGGAATATCCGCGTTGCCTGCGGAGTAGGCATGGCTTGCTTGTGGGCTACATAAATGATTAGCAGTTGCTTGAGTCAGAAACGTTACGAGCGGCAGCGAATACACTAGTACCGCGTGAATTTTCATCTTCAAACCAGCTGATTAACAGTTTTATCCTTGTTTTTCAATGTGTGATGTTTTGCCTGACTGCTTGTGAGCTATGTCACGTCCATATAATCATATTCATGTTGCCACGCGAAACGTCGAATCGTTATAATACAGGGTGTATATTAAAAAAGATGACCCTTTATAGAAGTTAGCCTGTTGTTATAATTCCAATGCCTGAACACTACGCCAAGCCACTGATGCGTAAGCACGCATAATTGAATTGTATGCATCGTTATTTAAAAGATTTTCATTTCATACAACATGTCAACATATGAATTAATATACTTGCTCATTGATTTAACATAGCGCTTCAGCCTTTTTACAAGTATCAAATAAAACCTTATGATTTATTCAACATGTCATTTGACGTACCCTTCTCTCAACACAAAGACGATATTTTACGCATCCGTACATATTTAGCATGGTTCGGGCATTGAAATTATAATAATAGGACGATTTTTAAAGTACTGTTTAATACACCTTTGCAATAACCAAGTCTGGGGTGATTTTGCGGTGAGTTTTAATTTTGAAAAACAACCTTAATTGAATTAGTTGTATATTGGGTGGCTCTTTGGACGAAGGGGTTAATTCATCACGAATAATTTTTGTGTGGATCGTTTCACATGGGTGATTCAATTGAATTCTCTTTGAATCTTCCTTTCGCATTTGTATTCAGGAATTTCCGTTGGCAAAGTCTGCGGCACGGCTCCTCCAAAAATGGCACCCGTGTCCAATACATAGATATCTTATATACACTAGATAGCGCATCTCTTTTAGTAAAATTGAAGCCAAGAATATTCCTGCGGTTACCCCCATTTGAATAGATGGCGGCCATGTTGGTCGTTCCCACTTGGTAATAAACGCTTAAAAACAACAATAACTTTCATCATTTGAATAGTTTAAAAACGTATTTGGAATAGGGTTAACTTGATGTTTAAGTTCCGTGTTTAAGAAATAGAAAATATACGAATCTTCTCATTTCATGGGAACGACCTGAGACTGCAATCACGGCTTCAATTTTTGAATTGCAGAATAATTAGATGCACTATCTAGTGTATATAAGATATCTATGGTCCAAAATCTTGAGGAACGAGGACAAAAATCGTCAGCGGTGCTAGCATGCGCAATTCGTTCATTTTCACATGAAGACAACCGGTTGTCTGCACACGTAAAAACGCACAAGTTGTTACAAATCTGTTCACAAGCTGTCGACAAGTTGTGTTCGCACTGCTTGTTCCCAGTTGTTGTAACAAATTTGGAACGAGCTGTTACCAGTAACAATTTGTAACATATATGATGGCATTATCAAACTTGTTACAAGGTTGTTCTAACAAGTTTGATCATAGTACAGTCAAGTTAGAACAAGAATGTTACAAGGTTGTAACAATATTGTTATATCATGACTGTATCGGACTTGTTGGAACAACCTTGTAACAACCTTGTTGATATTATCAGGCTTGTTACAAGTTGTTAACAGCTTGTTCCATACTTGTTGACAACTTGGGACAAGCAGTGCGAACACAGCTTGTTGACGGCTTGTTGGCAGACTTGCTACAAGATGCGAGATTTTTGCGTGTTTAGTTAATGTTTAAGGCCAACAGACTCGCAACAAGTTGTTCCAACAAATCTTATATCGTTTGCACGTATAGCCGTGCGCAGCAGTAGCTATGTTTTGAAGCTTTTTCAACTACTGCACGTAACAA